ATACACACACACACACACACACACCACCCACCCACCCACCACACACACACACATATATATATATATAAATAAATATATAGGTATATTATTATAGTGGGTATACATATACAAAGAAATAAAAATAATTCAATAAAAACGTACATCCCTATAAATGAGCATGTCACCATGTGTTGTACTTGGATCTACTTCATCGCACGTTATTGTAGTGCACATAACATGGGTTGACAGACAGCGTTGAGAACCGTCAATGCGGTGTCCGACAAACATTTCAAGTCACTCACAGCTAAACCTCGCAGCTACACTCGTTAGCGATTGGCTCAGGTGAGTTGCTCGATGGTTTTTCTTTGGTTTTTGGCTATGCCATACCTCCAGCGTGACATCGAAGAAGAAGTTGCTGCCCACGTTCGGTGCAGAGGTAACCCCCAGCCCTGTGTTGTTCATCATTTTGGCCAGCGCTGCGCGTAGGGAGTAGTAAGCGATGTGTTAGTTTACGACGAGTTGGTTTACGACGAGTTAGTTTACGGACGAGTTAGTTTACGACGTGCTAGTGTACGACGTGTTAGTTTATGACGTATTGCCTCTGTGGCATTCTCACAACTCCGACTGTAACAGTTTCACGCACTGGGCATGATAGATTGTAAGGAGAGCCTTGTACTGAAACCTTAAGCCCTGGCACGTCACGAGCAGACTAATTCAGACGTCAGCCGTTGCGGATAAACGTAAGAGTAGGGACATCGGTAAGAGAGAGCAGTCGAAGCTAAGCCAGACCTATATAACCCAAGCTCAGGAGACAAGAACTTGGTATTACATTATATGATAAGGAAACAAGAACTTGGTATTATATAGCATGATAAAGAGACAAAAACTTGGTACTATATAACAGGATGATACGAAAAGAAGGACTTGGTACTAAATTATTTGATAAGGAAACAAGAACTTGGTACTATATTATACGATAAGGAAACAAGACCTTGGTATTATATAATAGGATGTTAAGAAAACAAGAACTTGGTATTACGCAACATTGTGTCTACGTACCCGTAGATATGGACAGCCCCAGTCCTGTTCCCCCGTTGGGTCCGTTAGGATGCACCTGCATATACGTTAAATAAACAAGGTTTGGCAGAAGATATGCTTAAGACTACTGAAGTTCTGGTGCTAAAGTAGATGTCCCCTGATATACGAAAACATA